TGCCGGGACGCCGGCGGGGAGGCACCGGGGGCGGGGTCAGAGCGGAAGGGGCCGCCTCGGTGGCGGGGCCCAACCACTAGGGCGGGACCGCCCCCCGAAGAGGGAGGTGCCAGCCAGGGTGGGAGCGCTCAGGGAATCCTCGCAGAGGCAACGCTGGGTCGCAGCCCTCCCAAGCGAGCTGCCCCGTGCAGGTCCAGGCCGGGATGCCCTCCCTTCCAGCCCCTCACCGGAAACCCGTCACTCACTGCAGAGGCGTCTCTCCTGTGTGCGTGCGCCGGTGTACCTCAAGGTGATTCTTCCTCTTGAAGGACTTGCCGCAGGTTTCGCAGGTGAATTCACGGACACCTGGAGGAGACGCAGAGCTGAGCACGCGGCGACGAGGGAGGGGGCTGTGGGGTCACTGGGGCACTGCAGGGATCCGGTGGTACGCAAAGCCTCTGAGCTCAGGCAGACTAGACCCCACACCCTCTGGGCGGACTATAATAATTAATCAGCTAAAACAAGGGCGACTAAGGCCCGCATGAGGCTCGGAAGCTGCCCAGGAACGCGACTGGGCAGAGCTGGAACGCAAACTCGGATTCCTGAGGGGCAAAGGGTGCAAACAGCCAAGCCAAAGTGGGCCTGAATTTCACCCTAAAATTTCAAATATTGGTGCGATTTCACATAAATATCCAAAGTTCTGGCCTCTCAAAAAATCTGAAGCCGTTGCTTCCCATTGGGCAGACACTACTGCCTCTACGACCTTCCCACCTCCGCCCCACCCAGCCCTGGTTCAAGGGAGTGCCTGGAGAAGATGAAACAGAGGTCCAGCCTCAAGTCTGCTCCCCTACCCTGCCCACCTGGGGTGGTTCACTGTCCCCTACTCAGTCCTGGAACAGCTCCCACATGAACACTGTTCGTGGGAGTGGGGAGGCCAGGGGCCAAGTTGGGTAAGAGACAGCCAGCCCCTGCCCAGCTCCACGTGCTTTATAATAGTAGATGTCACTGGGACCTGTGTAGCTCCAACTTACTAACTACTGGGGAGGTGCCCACTGGGCACCAAATCAACTGCTTTACTTCTGCCTCTTACACCTGTCCTTGTGGTGGACATGGAAGAGGTTCGGAGAGGACCAGTCCTGTGCTCGGGTTTCACCCTGCCTGCCCCAGCCCTGGCTCCCAGGCCCAGGCCCCTGTGCCTGTGGCTCATGCTGCCAGCCCCGCCCCTGGCCTTACCTGAGTGGATGATCATGTGCCGCCGCAGGTGGTTTGATAAATAGAACTTCTTGCCGCAGCCAGGGTGAGGACACACTTTGGTCTTCCCTTTCCGATGCACGAGGTTGACATGGTTCTGGGGGCAAGAGGGGCAGGAATGGGGCTGTGGATGCCACCAGCCCACCTCTGCAGCTATCCCATTGGGAGGAACAGATGAAGGTTGGCTAGGGCCGGCCTCCCTGGAAGAGGGAAGAGGGGTGCCTTTGCCCTTGGGAGAGACTCCCAGCTCTGAGCTGGTGCCCAAGGGCACAACTGGGGTCAAACAGCAGTTTAACTGAGCACCTACTACAGCCAGACTCTGGCCTGGGGCATCAGTCAAACTTGTCATAACCCTGAGAAGGGGCCCAGCCATTAGCCCAGTTTGTGGATGGGGAAACTGAGGCTCTGGAGGCTTGGTCAATTACCTCCCCAGTATTTGACCCATCTCACAGGTGGGCAGTGGCAGGGCTAGGTCTGGAGTCCAGGGCTGTCAGCCCCACGGTGGCTCTTTGCACCGTGATGCTAAGCTGCCCCCAGGGGCTGGAGCAGGGAGCCCCCAAGTCATCCATTCCTTCATTCTTTCATTCTTTAACTCACTAGCCCTACTGGAGCTCCAGTGCCCAGCACCAGGCCTGGTACCTGCTAGGTGCTCAGTATGTACTTAATGCAAACGTGACTCGGCAAATTCAAAGTTCTTCTGGTGCAGTGTCTTATGCCAGGAGTGGGGACATGATAGAACTCTGTCTTTGCTCTCAGGACACCCTGTCCAGACTCCAGAGGGCCAACTGCAGGGATGTCCTGGTAGTGCACTGACCTGGGGCACGCAGGCCCCGCAAGTCCTGGGGGATGAGGGTGGGCTTCCCAGTGGAGGGGCGTCCTGAGTTGAGCTTAGAAAGGAAGCCTCCTGAACTGACAGGGTAGCTTGGGCAAAGACAGGAATTCCTGAGTTGAGGTGGCATGAAGAGGGGGAGTGTGTGGGGAACCACTCAGCCAGGACTGGGCAGCCAGCCGGGGTGTGTAGAGAGAGGCCATGGCTGGTTGAGGAGGCAGGATGGGTGGGCTAGAGAGCAGGGGGGTAAGGAACAGAGGTGATGCCTTCTTCTGTGGCTGATATCAGTGGGGGCTGGGTGGGTACTTGGGAGGCAGGCCATTGGCACCTGGAGGGGCTGGGTGGGGTCCTCCATGAGCCACAATGCCCAGACCCCCATGCCCAAGCAGCCAGGCACAGAAGCTGGCCCCCAGCCCACTTAGGTGGTGGCCTCACCTGGAAGCTGCTTAGGGCCACATAGACCTGGCTGCAGCCCTCGTAGGGGCAGTGGAACATCTCAAGCAGGCCATCGGCATCCATCACTCGCGACCGCTTGCTCCTCCGCCTCCTGGAGGGGAAGGGGCCCATGGCGTTGGGGCTCTGACACCAGGCGGGCTGCAGGCCCGAGGGCTGCTCCTCGTCCCTGCCCCCGCCCACCCCAGCACCCACTTCTCGGGCTCCTTGGGGATTTCGTAGATGATGGCTGACATGTCACTGCCATCCAGCTCCTCCCCGTCTGCCTCTGCCTCCGGCTCTGCGCTCTCAGGCACCGTCGCGGCCAGCTCTCCCAGCTCTGGGGCCACCGGCTCCTCCTTCTCCTCCTTCTTGAGCACGTACAGGTCCTCCTTCTCTACGGGGGTGGACACAGGGTGGGCATCCGTGGGGACCAAGGCTGTCGAGAAGCCTGCTTTGGGGCCACGCCTCGCCCTCCCCTTCCCAGGTCCCACCGCAGTGCCCACCCCGGTCTGGCGCGGCCCCCCAGACCTTTTTTGGTCTCAATGCCCGTCACAGCGGTGGGGTCCATGGTGCTGGGCTGACTGCCCTCAGGCTGTGTCTGGGTGTAGGCCGCCACACCCTCCATCATGGCGCAGGGTACCTCGTCGCCCAGGCCCCCTCCTGGGGCACCGTTGCCTGCTGCCACGTTGAGGTGGATGCCCTCGGCCGTGAGGGCATCGTAGCTGGGGCCGGCAATGATGATCACCTGTGAACCGGGCACCATGCCTGGCATGGGACAGCTGGCCACCACCTCGCCCAGTGCCTCCTGGGGCACGTTCTCAAAGAGGGTGCCAGGGCCCGGGCCCACTTGCACGGGCACTGGCACGCACACGACTGTCTCCAGGGCTTCGGGCCCGCTGCTGACTGGGTTGGGGCACAGAGGGGTGCCCTGCTCGGCCAGGCTCTCCACGTGCTGGACATCGAAGGGGATGTGCATGCCCTCCTGTGTGATGAGACCACTGCTGCCCGCCGGGCTGGTGGGGGTGACTGCCGCTGTTGCCACTGTCGCCTTGGCTGGCTGGCCCTCAGGGGGCTCCTCGGAGTCGGAGCCGGAGCCGGAACTGGATGAGCCGGAGCTGCCAGCCACCAGGCCGTTGCCCACTGTGGTGACAGAGGAGAGGGGATGGTTACAGCTGAGGCAGCAGCAGGTGGTATTTGCTGGGAGGATCCCTGGGGCTGGGCATGGTGACTCTCTCTCTGCCATAAGCGCGGTCAGCTCTCAGGTCAGATTCTCCAAGTGCCCCTCTCCTTGGGACACTCTTCTGCCTCAGTCTCCAGACCCACGCTCTGGTTCCCTGGCTCCTCCCCAGTGGCTCCTTCTCAGCCTCCTTTGTTCTTACGGGCCTGGAAGGCTCTCGTGGGGGCCTCTCTTCAGCGCTCCACTCAGCCCAGGGTATCAGCCTGGCTGGCTGCGTTAAATTGCACCCTCATTCTTCACCCCAGCCAGGTGTCCAACAATTTAATTTGGTCCTGACATGATCTATCTGGAGACAGCATCACACTCCACAGGGAAGAGAGCTCAGTCCCACAAGACTGCCCCCACTTCAGATACCAGCCACAAGTCCTGGGTCACCCACACTCCTGGCTACAGCTTGGAGGTTCCCACAACCCCCTCCTCAGTGTTCATAATTTGCTAGAACTCAGAGCTCAAGCAAGTACTCTACTTCTGGTTACAGCTGTATTATAAAGGATGCAATGCAGCCACAGCCGACGGAAGAGATGGCAGGGCAAGGTAACTGGGCGGTGGGGGCGGGGCGTGGAGCCGCTGTGCTGTCCACCGGCACGCCACCCTCCCAGCACCAGGTGTTCACCAACCCGGAAGCTCTTGGAACCTTGTTGTCTAAGAGTTTTCATAACCATCTCTCTGGCCTCCATCCGCACCTGGGGGCTGGGGGTCGGGCTGACAGCTTCCACTCTCTAACCAAGTATTTGGCCTTTCTGGTGACCAGCCCCCACCCTAGAACTATCTAGGGTCCCTGCCCTGAGTCACCTCGTTAGACTCAGCTGTGTTTTGACCAGGCTTCTTACCAAAGGGGCTCATGAAAAATGAAAAGCATTCCTATCACTCAGGAAGTTCCAAGGGTTTTAGGAGCTCTGTGCCAGGAACCAGGGACAAAGACCAAATACAGGCATATCCCATCTTACTGTGCTTCGCAGACGCTGCACTGCTTACAAACTGAAGGTATGTGGCAAACCTGCCTCGAGTGAGACTTTTGGCATCATTTTTCCAACAGGATTTGCTCACTTCATGTCTCTATATCACATTGTGGTAATTTGTAAGATATTTCAAACTTTTCCATTATTACTGTATTTGTTATGGTGACCTGTGATCAGTGATCTTTGATGTTACTGTTGCAAAAAGATTAGACTCACTGTGGATCCAGATGATGGTTGGCATTTTTAGCAATTAAGTATTTTTAATTAAAAAAACTGGGGCGGGGGGTAACTAGGTTTAGTTTATTTTAATGGAGGTGCTGGGAATTGAACCCAGGACTTCATGCATGCTAGGCATGCGCTCTACCACCGAGCTATACTCTTCCCCCTATAAAGTATTTTTAAATTAAGGTATGTACATTGACTTTTTAAATACATGATGCTATTGCACACTTAACAGACCACAGTATAGTGTAAACATCACTTTTATATGCACTAGGAAACCAGAAAGTTTGTGGGACTCACTTTATTTCGATCTTTGCCTTATTGAAGTGGTCTGGAACCAAACTCGCAACATCTCCTAGGTCTGCCTGCATCTATTTTTATTGCACTGCCACCACCCATACCCTGGTGCCTCCAAGTGGATAGTTCTTGCCTGGACCTCCACGGAGCTGCAGACTCCTGCCCCCTGCTGCCTCCTCTGCTGCCCCCGGTGAGGGTCTTACAGACATCTCAGACTCTGCTTGGCAACTCTGGGCTCTGAATCTTCCTTCAGAGAAAGACAGCACCGCTCACAGACATCCCTGTCTCAGCGGATGGCAGGCAGCTCTGCCTTTCCAATTGCTCAAGCCAACGTCCTGGGGCTCTCCTTGACCTCTCCCTTTCTCTCACACCCACTTCCAATCTGTCAGCACAACCTGTTGGCGGTGCTTTCAAAATATATCCCCAGGCTGATGGCTTCTCCTACTGCCCCCACACGCCCTGCTCACGGCCCCACCAGTCCCGTCGGGACCATGACGCCCTTCTTTCCGGGTTCCCTCCAACCATCTCTGTTCCTATCCTTGCTCCCCCTACCCCAGTCTGTCCTCCCCTCTGTGGCGAGGGAGCCTGTGACCACCTGCTCAGGTCACATCCCTCTCTGACTGAGAATCTGCTCATGGCTTCCTGTGGAAGAAGACAGGCCAACTGCTCACCAAACCCCTGTCTCTTCCTCCTGACACCTGGGTGGACTACACGTCCCAGCATCCTTTGCCATTAGGTGTGATGATATAGCTGAGTCCCAGTGGAATGTGAGTGGAAGTGAGCTATGTTAGGTCACAAGAGCTGGGATGCATCTGTTTCAGCAGCTGCAGAACTTACCTCAGTTAATGCCCTTCCCAATGCACTTGGCTTGGCAGCGAAAGCCCTCACCACAGCCACACAGCCCACACATCAGCCCTCCTTACTTCCTCTCCAGCCCCACTGACCCCCCTCCCACGCCCAGGGACACTGAGCAGGTTTCTGCCTCAGGGCCTTTGCACTTGCCTCTCACTCTGCTTGAGATACCTGCGTGGGCTCCCTCCCTCACCTCCATCAGACCTGTCCTCAAATGGTATTTTTCAGGGAGGCCTCTGACCACCTTGTCTCAAATAGCACCATTTTCTCTCCTTTATTCCTCCCCCCCAATACTTACCACCTTCTGCCACACTCTAGGTTTTATTTGTTTTTATCATTTATTTTCTGCTTCCCCTCTAGACCATAAACTCCACAAGGATGGGGTTCCCTGTGCACCGGCCCCAGTACTCAGGGTACCAGCTGCTTAGTACACACTGTGTGCATGTTTGCAAACATGAATGAATCCACACCCAAGGCTATGATGAAGGCCAAGGGGACTGACATCCTACCTAGACATTTGGTGCTCACGTCCACATACAGGGAGAAGCTGGGAGCAGGAAAGGTGAATGACTGTCCCTTAAGTTACACATGTGACACAGTTGGGGCACAATCTGGGTACGATGTGTCCTACACCCCCAGGGGCTCATGGAGCACAGGCTCTGGAGCCAGGTTGCCAGGTGGGATCCCGGTGCCCCCTCCTCCAGCTGTGTGAATGGGGGTGCCTGACATCCAATCTGGGCCTGGGGATAACCTGGCACCTACACAGGGCTGTTTGGGGTATTTAATGAGTAAACAGGATGGCAGGGCTTTCAGGAAGCAGCCTCTCAATGTCTCCCATTATCCTTACTATCATACTGCGGCAGCCGGGGTAGGGTAGGGGGACTGCCCCTCTTTCTAACACCCTGTGATCTGCAGGGTGGACTGAACCCCCTGATTCCACCCTGAAGGAGGGGGCAGTTACCTAGCGAGTTGGGGGCACAGACAAGGCATGTGCCTGGATCCCAGTTACAGCGTCCAGCTGTTAAGCCAGCACTGGACTTCTTTACAGTTGATAATAACATTAAGGACAGAACTGGCTGTGCACCCAGTGGCCTCCCACCGTCCTGGTGAGAGGTCCTCTTTCTGAGTGAGAGACGGCAGGGCCGCCCTAGGCAGAGAGCTGGTAAGGGTGCTGCTGAGGGACCAGGGCTGGGACAGGCCCACAGCCACTTCCTCACAGCCCCCCAGAGCCCACAGCAGACCTGGCTAATTGATCCCAGCACTCATTCTGGAGAGCCCAGATCCAGAAGCCACTAGCATCAGGGTTGAGTTGGGCTGTAAGGGGATTCCTCTTGGTGCCACCTCCACCCCGGGCAGACCCAGCAGCCAATGGGCCAATCACATTACTTCCAGGGCTGCCTTGGTTTCCTCGACTGCCAAGTGGGGCTAATGACAGGGCTGTGGGGAGGACTCAGGGTGGCTGGGGGCAGGGCCTGGAGTTGGGAAGACAAGATGGCCAAGGGGCCGGCTGCCCACTGGGAGCCTGGCTGACACATGACAGGGCAGCCGTTGGCCAAGGTGCCCACCTGGAACACCTCTCGCCCACGGCTTCCCCTCGGCCAGCTGGGATGCCACCTGCTCAGAGATGTCTGCCAGCGAGGGCTCAGCCCCAGTGACTGACCCCACCCTCAGCTCCTGCAGGGTGCCTGGCAGTGGACCCCAGGCTCCTTCTGATGCCAAGCCCCTGAGGCAGGCGGGCAGCCCCCTCATCATCCATGGTGTCTCCTCTGTTCCCCCACCAGCGCCCACTGGGCCTTCGTAAATGAGTCCATCCCAGTCCTGAGCAGGCTGCCAGCTCCCACCAGACCAGTGTGGGTGGGATGACAGGAGAGGGGCTGGGGAGGGTGGGGCAATGGTGGGGAGAAAGGAAAGCGATGGAAACAGGGGTGAGATGGAGGACAGACGGGAGAGACAGTAGGGGGAAGAGAAAAAAGGAAGGAGATGGGAGAGAGGATGAAACACAGAAATATGAGTGCAGGGGATGGGAACAAAAGAAAGCCCCAGAGTGGAGAATGGGGTGTAGAGAAACGAGAACAGGCTGGAGAGAGGGAGAGGAGGCCGCCAGACACGGCCCGGAACCTGAGAAAGAGCCAGAGGAAGTGAAGGAGGACAAAGAGGCGAGGAGAGGACCGTGCCTGCCCCTCCCTCCAGATCCCAGGCCTGCCTGCGACTGACCTGGGCCCAGATGGGCAAATTGCTTCACGCCTCGGCTGTCCCTCCACAAGGTGGGGCAGCTCTCGGGCTCTGCAGGGACTCCGACACTGCAAGCCCATTAAGCAGCAGTGCCGAGCGAGTTGCTGTGGGGTCTGAGATGCTGGCTTGAGGCTGGTAGGGCCCAGGAGGGCAGGGAGCCCAGGTCGACACCCGACCCCGGAGGCTACAGAGCCCTAGAGACCAGAGGCCACTGTGTGCCCTCACCCCGAAGACCCACCTTTGTCACTCTCGGGGTCCGAGTCACTGAGCGGCTTCAGGGGTGAGTGCAGGTCTTGGAAGTAGCGGTGTCCGGCTTCGCACTGCCACACAGCCGTGGTGTACAGGCCGAAGGTGGGGTCCAGCTCGGCCAGGTGCGGCTCGTAGGGACAGCGGTGTTTGTGGTCCTCGTACCAGATCACCACGTTCTTCAGGCAGTTCACGTTGCGCCGCCGCCCTGCGCACACGGGGCCGGGGGCGTGAGGGGCGGGGCTCCGCCTGCCAGGACAGCCCGTCCCCAGAACCACCCGGGGCTCTACGGCTCCTGGTGACTGAGACACCCTCCTGAGTCCTGTCCACGCCTGTCCCCAGTTTACACATCAAGAAATTGAGGCTGGGAGATGCGAGACCCACCCTGGAGACAACAGAGACTGGCCAGGGACTGTCCTCGCCGGATAAGTCAAGTCAGATAAACAACAAAGCCTGGGGCACAGCAGGTGCGCAACACGTGTCACCTGCTGGTTAGGCTTGCAACCATCCTCGTCAACTCCCCGTCTCCCGCCTGGACCAGCTCAGGCCCTCGGCCCGGCTCCCAGCTCTCACCCTTGCCCCTGGCAGCCGACAGAGGGCGCCTCTGAACCCTCGAGTCAGGTCACACCCCTTCTCTGCTCAGAATCCACCACTGGGGATAAAAGCCAAAGTCCTCCCTGGGGCTTACTGGGCCCTCACTCCCCACCCTCCCCCGAATCACCCTGCTCTAGCAACAGGGCCTCCTGCCTGTTCCTCGGTCTTTCCCTCCTTGGCCACCCCTCCCCTTCCCTCCAGCCAACCCAACTCAGGGTCCTTTTTCTCCAGGTGGCACATAGATATCATCTGTGGTTATTTGGTTCCTATATTACTGTCTCCCCCACCAGAACGTCAGCTCCCCAAGGGCAGGGACATTTATTTCCCTGTGTTGCTCCTCCTGCGTCCCCAGTGCTCACCCAGGGTCTGGCCCACACAAGTGCTGGATAAGGGGGTGCTTCCAGGGGGCAGGCTCAGTGGAACCGCACTGCCCGGATTAAAATCCCAGCTCTGCCACTTCCTAGTTGAGTGGTTCCAGGGAAGTGATTGGCTTCTCTGAACCTCCGTTGTCCCTTCTGGACAGAGGGAGAATAATGGTCCCCATTCCCTGAGGGCTGCCGGGGAGGAAAAAGTGAAGGCATCCACAGAACCCAGAACAGGAATGGGCACACTGATAACAAGGAATGGTGTCTGTGATACTTGTGATGATCCTGGTCCCACGGCCGAGGGGGAGGAAGGTGGGCCCCTGACCTTCCAGCTGGGAGATGAAGAGGGGGCCCAGGAAAGGTCCTTGGACTGAGGGATGGTGCTGAGGGCCCCAACCGGTGATGACCATGGGGGACCATCAGCCCAGCACTGTCTCCTTATCTTCCTCCCCACCTCTGGGATTGGGGGTCTCAGTTCTGGCTCAGTTTCCACCTCTGAGAACTGTGAGAAGGGAAGGGGCTCACTGCCACCAGACAGCTGTCCCTGGACCATGAGCCCTCACCCTGCTGGACATGGCCTGAGACCCACAGCCCCAAGGTTCAGGGATCATGATGGGGGACACGTGCTCCAGCCCCCACCCTGACTGCCCACGCCCGGCTTCCCCCCGAGCCTGGCACACCACACACCCTTTAGGCCCAGGCACAAGCTGTTCCCTCTGCTCTGCCTGGCCCTCCCAGGCTGACTCCCACGCACTGGGCAGGAGAGCAGAGGCTCTAAGGGGACCACTCGGGAAACACACAGATCTGCATCTGCGGTCTAGTCTGGCTACTTTCCGGCTGTGCAGCCTGGGGCAGTGACTTGGCCTTTCCCCAAGAGGTGATGATGATAAGAGCCCTCCCCTACACCCCCTGCGCTGGGCACAGTACAGGCTCTGGTCCCCTCCGACATTCCTGCTCCAACCCTCCCCCTGTCCTAGGCCAGGGCAGGCCTCGTCTCTGGGCCCCCGTCCCCCCTCCTTCCTCACCAAGGCCCTGCTCAGTCTGTCCCCTAACTTTCCCAAGAGACTCTGGGCTCTGTGAGGGCAGGGCTGGGACTGTCCCATCCCGCACAGTGCCTGGCCTGGTGGGCCCTCCATGAATGGTCCCTGAGAGCGCGAGCAAGGGAGGGAAGGAGGGAACCAGCAACAAAGCCACTTACTCCCAATACCACCCCAACCCTGGCTGCAGCCCCACTTACTTTTCTTTCGCTTTGGCTTTTTGGGGACTTGCTCCCAAGGCTTCCTGTAACAGAGAGAGGCAGTGGGGAGTGAACGCGGGGCATGACTGCTGTTGCTGAGAGGCTACAACTGCCAGAGCCGAATATTAGCGTCTGCTTCCCTGGGCGGCCCGCTCTCCTTCCCATGCCCCTTTCCTCGGGCTCGCTGCTGCACTGACGGCAGCCCCAGCAGGAGGGTCTACATCTCCACCCACCTCACAGAGTGGGAAGCTGAGGCTCAGAGGGTTAGGCTGCCTGGTCAGGGTCCCATGGCCGGGGAGTGGATTAATCAAGAGGAAGCTTATGGGGTGGGGTACTGATCTAATCAACGGAGCCCTTAAAAGGGCCCTGCTGAAGTCAAAGACTAGGGGTTGAAAATGTGGGGGGCCTGTGAGGGGCCAGGACCTGAGAACGGCCTCCAGGAGCTGAGAGCGGTGCCAGCTGATGGCCAGCAAGACAGCAGGGACCTCGACCGTACAACCCCCAGGACATGGATTCTGCCAAATCTCTCAGCAAGTCTAGAAGCAGGTCTCTCCCTAGGGGAGCCTCTAGATGAAGATGCAGCGAGCTGATACCTTGATTTCAGCCTTGTGAGACCCTGAGCTGAGGATCCAGCTAAAATGTGCTGGACTCCCGACCTGCAGAAATGTAAGATAATAAATTTGTGTGGGTTGAAACCACTAAGTCTATGATCATTGGTTACAGAACATGGAACATTCATGGAGTCGGCCTCGGACGACCCCATCCAAGGTCCTGTGGATCTTGCCCTAGAGGCTGGCCAAGAGCCCTGGGGAGATGGTCAGCCCATCTGGGGGGCCAATGCTGCTAAGGACCTTGCCCCTGACCTTAACTGTCTGCTCTACAAGGGTCTTGTCCCTGCAACCAGCTTAGGCCCAGAGGCCAGGCCATCATGTCCCTCACTGCCTCCAGGGCCCTCCTCTCCTCCATCTCCCCTGGGCCCTTTCTGTAAGGGTTTTTTCACACCATGCTACAAACTGCCCGCATGGCCAACAGGGGTGGCCACCTTGCTCAGCCTGGCAGTAGTCGATCTGGTCCTAGACGGTCCAAGACCTGGGTTTGGACCTGTGTGCTCCGTCTACACGCAACCCCCACCCCACCCACCAACAATCTCCATCACCGCACCGACACCACTCTGGTTTCTCCACACTTGGCTCTCCTGCTTGGTCCTCTCCCCACACACCACCACTGCCCCAAGCCCCTCTGCAGCACCCCATGAAGGAGGTCTCACCAGCATCTCACATGCAAGCTGGCATCTGGCCCTTCCACCTCTCCCTTCTCAGTGAACGGCAACTGCAACTTTCCAGGTGCTCAGGCCCAAACCTGGGGGCATCTCTCATATCCACAGCCTTCGGGGAATGCTGCTGGCCCAAAGTTCAACCACTTCTCTCCATTTTCCCACGGCCCCACCCAGGGCCACCCCCATCACCGTTCACATTGGACCAGCCTGCCTCCTTCCTGTCTCCCGGCTCCTGCCCTCCCCTCCCATGGTCTCAATGTAGGAATCTGTATGATTCTTTTGCTTTTCTTGTTAAGAGTTTAAGATGTAAACAGAAAAATTCAAACACACACAAAGTGAGAGAGAAAGAGTGAGCCTCCTTGAACCCATCACCTGATTTAACGACTGTCAGCTCTTGGCCAATGCAGACCTCACTCATTCCTCCCGCCACACACATCATGGAGAGCGCCTCTCTTAAAATCTAAGCCAGTTGTGGGGGAGGGTATAGCTCAGTGGTAGAGTGTGTGCTTAGCATGCACGAGGTCCTGGGTTCAATCCCCAATGCCCCCATTAAAATAAATAAATAAAACCTAATTACCTACCCTCTCCAAAAAAAAGGACAAAACAAATAAAACCTAAGCCAGATATGTGATCTCTCTGTTCAAAATTCTGCATTTAAGAAATACAGAAAATCCTTTTCTGGGAGGAAAAGCCAGAACCAGAGTCCTCCCTGCAGCCCACAAACCCCTGTCACCTCCCTGTCCTAGTCTTCTCTCACTCCTTTCCCTCACTCATTGTGCTCCAGATACACAGGCTTCCTCCCTGTTTCATGTACATACCAGCTAGGGTCCTGCCTCAGGACCTTTGGACCTGCTATTCCTTTGTCCTCGAACACTCTGCCCCTGGATATCTGCATGGCTCCCCCTGACCTCCTTCAGGTCTTTACTCAGATGATAACTTCTCAGTGTGGCCCACCATGACATCCTAACTAAACCTCTAACTCACATTCATGAATCCTCTTTCCCTATTTCCCTTTTGGTTTTCTTCCACAGCCCCCATGACTCTCTCACATGCTACATATTATTATGTTTCCTGTCTGCAGTAGACAAGCCTTTGCACATGCTAGCCCCTCTGCCCTCTAAACATCAGCTCCGTCAGGCGGCGATCTTTGTTTTGTTCATTGCTGTACCCTTGGCATCTATACAAGTGCCTGGCACACAGTAGGTGGTGAATAAATGTTCATTAAACAAATAAATGGGGGGGAGAGTATAGCTCAGTGGTAGAACTCATGGTTGGCATGCACAAGGACCTGAGTTCAATCCCCAGTACTTTCATTAAAAAAAAAAACAACCCCCTAAGCAAACAAACAAACAAACAAATAAATAAATAAGAGGGCAACAGAAATTCCACTACTGACCATTGTTTCCCTTTGCCCACTGGCTGTTAGGAAGCTCCAAGGCAAATTCATAGCCCATTCACACTTCTTCACATCTCTTGAACCCCTCTGGTCAGGTTTTCACCTCACTGTGCCACACAACTGCCCTTGTCATGTCCCCTGTGACTTCTGCTTCAATTCAGCAGCACTGACCCAGGCCCCATTATGTTCCCTGTTTTTCTTTCTGTTTTCACCCTGATTTTCATTTCTGCCTTCCTGTCTATGTTTTACAGTCCTTGAACTGAAACCGTTCCAGGTACCACACGTTATATAACTGAACAACTAGAATAACTGGCCCCCTATCTCTGGTCATGCCTACTGCCCACAGGAGACCCCTCGCTCAGATTAGTGTATTTTCCTGACTGCTCATGTGCCCTGGGGGTGAGTTTTGCCACCTACTGCCTGGGTTGTCTCAGTATCCCAGCTCCAGTTCTGCAGGCCCACACAGCTCCAGCTCAGCCGAACGAGCTTCTGCAAATACCACTTTCAGCTTAAGAACCTCCAAGGGCTCCCAATGGCCAGTGGTTCTCAACTCCAGCTGTACATCAAGTCTCCCTGGAAGCTCTTCAGAAAAAAATACATGGTCTGCAACTCCACCCAGAACAACTGAATCGGAAACTCCAATAGTAGGACACTGGCTTCAGGTTTTATAAGTGCTCAGCATTTTCTGCCCTCCTCTTGGGCATAAAAACCAGCCTGCCACCCTGGGGAGGGGGTGGGTACAATTCAGCAGGTTCTGGTTGATTCTTCGTCCTCAGAATCTCCCCCCAGAGAAACATGTGAACAGGTACAAGTGAAAACCAGGGCAGAACAAGGATTTTGTTGGAGCATTGCTTACAGCAGGGAACAAACATCATCGTAACAGCTAATACCTGGACTAGTCACTAAGTGCCAGAAACTGTTCTAAGCCCTTTGCTGTATTTTAACTCATTTAATCATCACATCAACCTATAAGATAAGAGAAAAATTCCATCCATGATGCTAGTTCTCAAGACCGAACTGAGATTCTGCAAAGGCCTCTGCCCTCCACCTGAGCAGCTACCTCGAGGTATCCTCTTCACCTGAGTCTCCCTGGGCATAGGTGCTCTCCAGGCGCCAAGAGGCTTAGGCGAATGCGATCTGGATTGTGAGGGGTCCTCTGGGAGCGTGGGACCTAGGGTTGTGGGAATGGGGCCACATATAGTCACAGGTGGGGCACTGGAACCTCATGAGGGGTAGGGTTGGATGGCCCGCGGTGTACAGTCACAGCCCCAGGCTATATTGTGGGAGTTTTAGGCGATAAGGCCTGTGAGAGGCCAGGGGCCAGCAGAGACCTCGGGCCATTGAAGCCTCAGGAGGCGGGGCCGCCCCTCCAGGGGACCGGGCCGTTAGAAAGCTTGGAGGTGGGGCCCGTACCAGGATTGGGCAGCCAGAGCTCTAGCGGGCAGGGCCAAGCGCCCAGGAGGCGGGTCGGGAGTCTGGGCACATCCTACGATTGGGCAGCCGGAGAGACGGGAGGCGGGGCGGCGAGCCTGGCGCATCCCAGGACCGGCAGTCAGAGACCCGGGCCGGCAGCCTGGACGCTGGGCGGGGTTCACAGGTGCCAGGGGCGGGGCCTGGGGGTAGAGGGGGCGGGACCAGACTCAGCGGGGGATGGGGGCGTCTCCTCCCTCATTCCCTCCCTCCCTCGGGCCGGGCCCCCTCACCCGTGGCGGCCGCTACGCTGGCCGCGCTCCAGTGAGATGAGGTAGGCGGCGAGCTTGGCGTCGCTCCAGCCGCTGCGGCGCCGCAAGTCCACCCAGGGCCCGTGCGCCTCGCCCAGGTACACGCGCCGCACGTCGTACTTCTTCCGGGACTCGAGCCGCCGCCGGGCCCGGTCCGACTCCGTGAGTCGTGGCCGGCCCCGCGCCTTGCGGCCCGCCGCGCCCTCCTCGGCGGCCGCCTCCCCGCCTGCGCCCGCCTCAGCCTCCGCCTCCGCCTCGGGCTCCTGCGCCCGCTCCGCCATCCCCCCCTCCCTGGTTACCAGCCTCCCCCGTTGTTAGGAGCCCGGCCGGAAGTGGCGCGCATCTTCCGCGCCGACGGGAAATTTCTCATGGACTCTCACTGCCCCGCGGCGCCAAGAGGAGACCGAGAGCGGAAATTGCGCATGCGCACAAGCGCGTAAACCCCACTGTCCCTTTATTCCTTCTCTGTTAAACTTAGGCTGAGACGGGAGAGTCCATAGACTTTAGGGGACTGGGGGCTTCCTCCTCCGCACTTTTATCCTGAATGCATTGGGGGGTGACAAGGGAAGGGTGGCAGCTGTCAAGTAAAGGCAGAGAGAAAGTCTGGGCCCTGACCAGTCAACGCTGGTTGCTGGAGCCCTTGAAAAGCCGCGACACCAGGTATTAATGGGGCAGGGGAGGCCACACTGCCAGAGAGGAGGCAAGGCAGCCCCAAGCTGGAAAACTTTTATTTGCTGTACACTCAAAAGGTCATCTCATGCTTTCACACCAGTCCACAGTCTGTGCTTCTGTGACCACTCAGGCTCAGCTCTGGCCCTGCTGCTGTCGCTGCTGACTGTTTTCCTCTTCTTCTTGACCCTCAGGTGGGGGTGGGGGTGGCAGTGGCTCCTCCAGCCCTGCGGAGGATGCTAGGAGCTCCCCGGAGGACCCAGCCAGGCGGAAGACCACTGGAATCTGGGCCAGGGCTGGGTTGGTCTCTTGCAGGCCCTGGATCCACTTAGCCAGTGTGGCCTGGTCATGGGCACCCGTCATGCATATGGCGAAGACAGGGCCTTCCTCCACTGTTGGGAGAGACAGGATCTGAGTTCGTGCAGTGGGGACTAGAGCTGCCCCCTCATGCCCACAAGGTTGGGGACTTTAAGTTCCCTTTCGCATTTTGTGTGTGTCCAAGCCTTTGTACAGGGTATCCCCTCTGCCTAGCCTGCCCCACTCCTGCTTCACCTGGGGATGCAGGAATGCCTCCTGGTTCAATGTTCCACCAGGAAATCATTCCGACTCCCACCTGAGGCTGGGTTGTATGCTTCTCCCCTGGGACCCCAAGAATATAACTTGCCTATTCCACCACAGGCCCGAACTGCCTTAAGGCAGGGACTAGACCTGTCCTGGTCACACCCAGTAGCCAGCACAGAGGTGCTCCATAAATGCGTGTAGGAAGAAATGACCAAGGCTGACACGTCTAGAGCCCCTAGGGGGTGAGGTGTGTGTGTGTGTACGTACTTGGGCCTCTGCTGGGTCTGTGTATGTGTAACTGGGCTGAGTCTCAGCCTGGGCCCCACCCCTCGACTCCTGAGGCCACACTTCATCCTGTGCAGTGTTTGGAATCCTACCCATCCTGGTTTTTACCTTCACTGATGTCAAACTGGTAGTCATCCCAGCCACTCCTTTCGTAGGCCAGGTCTAGCTGCATCGGGTAGTAGAGGTTCCACTCCTCTGGAATCTCCTCCACTTCCTACCCCGGGGAGGGGGGCACAGGCAGGGTTAGAGGCCTGGGATGTTGCGGCCATCTGCTGCCTCTCCCCCCAGCCTACCCCCTCCACTTCCCTATCCTCTGCCCACCTCTAAGCCAGCTCACTCCCCCCACGCTCAACTCCCGTCTGGGGCCCTTACCCTCTCCTCTGGGGGCAGCAAGTCAGCTCTGAGGATGTGGTAATAGACACATTTGTCTCGAAGCCACAGGGAGAAAGGGCCCTCAACGAAGATAGGCCGGGCTGGGTCGTGGCGGGCCAGGGCAGCCTGCTGATCAGGACTCTGGATTCCTGGGGTGGAGACGCACATACTTGGGGCACCTGGGCTGAGGAGCTGTGCCCAAAGGCCCGGTGAGAACTGGGCGCCCCCTCTGCAGGATCTTACCTACAATGTGTGGCTCTGTGGGATCCGCTGCATCTGTAGCGTCTTTGGGCAAAGGCATCTGCAAAGAAAAGCAGGGGTGGAAGCTTGCAGCCTACAGCCCCTACAGAGGAGCCAGGGAGAGAGAAATAGGGAAGGGGGTCCCAGTGATTTCAGGGCCCCTCTTGGGCCTGTGTACTGGGCCTCCCCCATGTCACTCAAGCCCCCACCTTCTTGGTTCCATCCAACTTGCCAGGAATCAGTTTACTAAATCATAAATGTACAACTGCTTCTTAATGCAACACATACACTTAAATTTTTTAAAGTAATAACATCATGTCTTATTGCACCATAATCCTGCTAATAGCTTTTCAAAACTTTGAGAAAAACATTTTGATTGTATATGTGTACCTTTTTCTCTCACACTAAAAGTCCTGGTTCCTACCGTGAGTAACACATTTGCATATTTGACTTATCCATCAATCTACGTAAATGGTCTTGATATTACAACTGAACAGAATGCTAAGGGATTAAGTTCAGGATCCTCAGAATACAGGCCACTGAGGACAGGCAGTCAGATGACAGTGACTCAGAAGAAATTTTTTCTCTCTTTGGTTATGCTGTCAATTAGCCACATCCATTTGTTTTCAGCTTTGGTGGATTTCCCCCTCCTTTTTGATTGTATTTTTAATAGTCTAAACATTTCCATAGTTTAGAAGCCAACTCATATTAAATAGCTGTCTCTCTCCCACTCCTCTCTCTGCTCCATCTCCTCTGCCTGCCCAGAGATAAATCATTTCTACCCATTGCTGATTTATCATTGCATTGCTTATGCTTGTGAAAATAAACATAGCTATATGCAATTTTATTTGCTCTCCCTTCTCACACTTAAGGTGGCTCATGACACCACTGTGTGTACCTTGCCCTTTCACTTTTTTTCAGTCTTTGACTGAGGTGCCACAGTGGACACGGACAAATCCCTCTTGATGGATACTTGGATTTTTCCCATTCTAAATCTAGGTGCTGTTGGTGATCATTTTGCCATGATCTTTCTGTATGTACTTAATAATGAGGAGGGGGGAAAGAATATTTAAATATAAAGGATATATATGTGGAAAAAAAAGGTATATATCTGCTTGCAAATGCATAGATCTTTCTGGAGGGAGACATAGAAGTGGTCACCTCTGGGGAAGAAGCCTGGGGGCTAAAGGGCCAGGCTAGAGAGGAGAGCTCTTCACTGTATGTTCTTGCAAACTGGTTTCTTAATGAATTTAAAAAACAAAGAAATGAGTTAAAAACTACACTTGCTCTGCAATATACTCAAGGCCAAGTCTGCCCTCTCTCACCTGGACACCACATCACCACTTGTAGTTTCTGTGTCCTCTGTGCCACCCCCTGCAATCCAACACCATCCAGATGGCCACCAGGGGGCGCTTCCTCAAATCCTTTACTCACACCACATCCCTCCTCTTCTTAAAACCTCCCGGTGGCTCTCTCCTCACTAACCCTGTGTCCTATGTGCCTCTTCTCCCTCATCCCAACACCCTCCTCCAGGTAAAGGAGGCCCTTTCAGCATCTCATCAACTCCCAGCTGCCCTCAAGCCCTGGCCTGTGCTGCTCCCTCTGCCTGGCATGCTCTCCTTGTGTCTGTTCTGCCTGAGCCCACTTCGCCCTCACCTCCTCAAGGAAGCCCTTCCTGCTCCATGCCCCTTTTGGGCTCCCCCAGCCCCCAGGGCTTCTCTATCTCAGAACCAGTGACTGAGGGAACCTGTTCTCTGTGGTCGGCCTCCAGCACCAGAAGGTAAGTGCTGTGAGGAATTCTCTTTCGAGCCCTCATGTGGCCTGGCAAGAGTGGGGCCCCCAGAATATGGGCAATATTTAAATCAGTTATTGAACAAACAGCTGTGGAGCCAGGAATACAGTGAGTGTGGGGAGAGGGGTAGGAGCAAAGGTCAGAGGTCAAGCTGTGCCGAGGGCCATGGAATCTAGCAAAGGCTCAGCCAGGGAATCATGGCCTGTCTCAGCACAGCCACTCGGGGTTGGCGAAGGGGCCCCGCCCTGGGGAGGCTGCCGAGGTGTGGATACCTGGTAGATGGTGACCCTGGCGCTGAGGTTGGGCTCCATGTGCCGCAGGGCCAACCGGGCCAGGTCGATGGGGTCTTGGGGCAGGTCCCGGGGCACAGGGAACGGGTTGATGTTCTTGAAGCGAGTGAACCACAGCTTCATGCGCACAAGCTTGAGCATGGGGTAGCTTTTGCGTCCAAATATCTGAATCAGCAGGAACTCCGTCTCCTTGTTGGGCATCACCCCTGTACCAGGCAGATGCGGGCAGAGCCTCAGGGAGGGGCCGGAAGAGGGAAGGGAAGACAGACAGAGTGAGCAAGAGATGGAGTGGGGTGTAGGGGCGAGGAGGAAGCCAGACAGACAAAAAGGAGACCAGCCAGAGCCCGGAAGCGATGGAGGGCCCGAGACCCTGAAGAGGGAGGCAGCCCACTACCTCTATAGCCCTTCCTGGTGCGCGCTGCCTGCTGGCCTCACCATGGTTCTCCATCTGCTCCAGGACGGCAATCCCACATTCCTGCTGCCGTGGGTAGTGGATGAAAATCTTCTGGATGATGCTGCGAGGCCGGAAGACCTCCTTGGGGAAGATGTCAAGCAGCAGGTTGTAGACAGCCAGGTCCCGCTCGACGCCATACTCCCGCATCTTGCGCAGAGCCAGGTAAATGAAATCGACGTGGCCCCGCTTGTGCACGTTGTGCTGTGTGAAGTTCTGCACGGCCCGCACAAAGCTCGCCTTGTCCTGCGCCGCATCTGGCGCCTGCCTGAACAGCTCCTCATGGCGTGCCAGGGCCTTGACTGGCCTCCTTGGGGGCTTGGATGGGCACGGGACCAGCGATGAGTCAGGGCGATGGGTGGCTGTGCTGCAGTGGAGGCTCCGCAGAGCCTGGGGTGGCACCTGTGGACAGAGATCCGCTGCTGAAATCTGGCGTTCCCCAGTGTCCCTGGGGGACTGCTGGGCTGGCTCTTTGCTGGGAATGGTGCCAGTGGCATCCCTAAGGGCCTCCAAGGATGTGTGGTGCTGTGGTTACAAACCCAGGGTCAGGCACCAAGGCCGAGTGTGACGCAGCAGGGGTAAAACCCCGATGGAGGGATCTGGCAATTTTCACCACGATGAGATGAACATGCACCCTCTGACGCAGTAAGCCCACATCTGGTATTTAAATCGGACAGCTCTAGACACACCTGC